ATTAAAGTGATAGTGGAAGAAATCACCATCTGAAATAGTTACAAAATTTAACACCTCCAATATATCGTGCCAATGCAACTAAGAGGACCTACAAAGACAGTATTGGACTTTAAACTCCACAACCACAATTCTAAATGCATGTATCGAAACACCAGTCTCAGACCTTCCGTGAAATACGCTCCTGAGTCACCTTAAATCAACTCCCTCCCCAATAGCTGTTCCAAAATGGACCAACTTCAGTCTAGGAAAGAAAAACCTTCATTTCCTTGAGTGCATATACAGCCCCCAAAGCTGTATACGAGATCACTAAGCCTAATCTCTATTCTGCTTTTCTTGCACTCATCTTGGGAAACATTCACACGCCTACCAAACCACACGTTAGTTATAAGGAACATAACCTGGAATATCCTCCTCTCTTCAAAAAAACCCATTTCTGTTCAACGACCCTTAGAAGCATTCAGTTACAAACAACACTGACTTCCACTGAAGAGAGCAATAGCCAGGATTGATGTGTTTTGCTATGGAAATTGATAAGAAAGCTGTCTTTGGGGACCATATTTGACACCCCTGCTACCCTACCCCCCCGCCTCCTGAGGATTTCAGAGCAATTTTGATGACTATCAGGTATAATAGGTCCCTTCTACGGTTAATCACTTTCCACATCTGTAACTCAGTAGGGTATGAAAATCTTCCCCATTAAAAAAAACCCACAAACAACCACCAAGAAACAGTAGCCTCTGAGGTAGGCACAGTTTTTACAGTTCCTTTAATCCTCACACTTTTAAGATTTTAACCTCAGTGTTTCTTTTTAAAAAGACGCCAAGCAAATCCTAGATTTTCTTGCAACCTGGGGTAATCCATTAATCAACGAGAATGGCACTAACTAGGCAGTAGGGCAGCCAGTACTAACCTCTGAAACCAGATCAACAGAAGTACTGCCACAAGAACTAACAAGGTATTTAGCAGTCATCAGTCTTAATAGCTGCTGTACTTTAAGCCTTTAAGATAGGGATATTGCCCCATCTATTATCTGTATAGAAATAAAGCCTAGCATCCTAACACCACCATCCTAAGCATCCTTCCCTGGAGCTGTCTGATGAGTTCTCCTACCCTATATACTCGGAAAGCACCTAGCAATGATTCTAGTCAGAGTACTACAAACATTTGTACAGAATAGAAGCCTTTTTGTGGCCATTTTATGGAAATGTAGGATGTTCCCAATCCAAAGATCAAGCAGAAAGATTCTTTTCCACCTCCAAAAAACCCCAAAGAGCTAGACTAACTTATCAGTTACTTTGATTTGCTCCCAGTTGTGCCTGCTGCCTACTTATATTTGTCACGTGCTACCGTTCCGCGTTCTTCTGCGAAACCTGCAGTCAGAACCAGATTTCTGGTTCTGGTCAAAGTAAGCCCTTCAAAGGGAGTGTAAGGCAATGAAAAGACATGTGCCAGATCAAAAGAAAAGAAAAACCCAGCTCTGGATTTAAAACAGGAGGAAAAATGGTTAAGGATTCCCCGGAACAGCCAAGACAAATGCATGTGGGTCATGTTTTAATGACTGTTTGGTAGATATCTTAATAGCTGACGAAATTCTTCTCTAACTCAGTCAGGTTTCTCTGGGCTGCTTGTGAACTGACATAACAGAAGTATTTTCAAGTGACACGCAACTCTCTTCACCCATGGCAGAAGCCAATCTATTTTCTTAGACCTATTTTTGGGCATTACTACTATAGTAAGTTCAGTGTGTAAAATATCTATAAATCTCAACAGCTACCACCACATTGTAGCTTCAAAAGCTTAAAACTTTAGCTATTGTTCATCTTTCAGTAACACATGAGATGAACAACAGCCAAATTACATCCCTCTGTCATCAACTTGAACTGAAGTACTGCTGTCAGTAGCAGGAAAATTGCTACACTTCAGAGCAAATAAGGACTGAAGTTGTGCCATGATGGCACAGTGCTGTATGCTTAAAATACACTCTATAAATGCTGCTCTCAAGGCTGCAACCTAAAGCAATACTTGGGTCAAGGTGAACATTTAACGTACCTTTCCCTAGCTCTGGAGGAGGCTCCTACAAACCCAGCATTGAAAAGACATTTAGGGGCTAAAACAAAAGATGGGAGCAGCCACGATAGAAAAGCATAAAACTAACATCCTTGCTGAGATTCTTACACTTGAAGTTTGTAGTCAGTGCAAGTTTAAGACACCCCATTTAGTGCCTTCGTTTAACCTTTCCATACCTTGCTTGATGCAACCAATGCTATAAAAAAAAGAGTGTATGTCCATGCTAAGAAACCCACTCATCATGCCACCATTTATTCACCAGAGTATTGCACAAGTCTGAGGGCAGCAGAATCTGTCCCCTGGAAGAATAATTACAAAGATGACCAATAAACCACGAACTTACAACCTTCATGTTTTCAAGGAATCAGTAATATTTGTCAACAGTGGAATTTAGTGTCACATTACTTGATGAGATGTATTCAGTAAAAAGGCCTGGAAAGTCTTTTTTTATAATTAAGCAGTAACAATTGAGGGCCAGGGCATTTCCTGGGGAAATTAATGACTGGCCGGGGTTAATGGCCCAAGGCATTGCCTCAAGCCATTGACTCTCCCAGCCAGTCATTAATCCCCAGGAAATGCCCTGGACCTCAATTAGGGTAACTATTGTAAAAGGTAGCTAGGGAGAAAAAGTTTAGCATTAGCATTCTCCCAAGGAAATCTATTCCATGGCCAATATTTTTTCATTTTGTCACATCCCAGAAGAAGTGCATAAGTTAAAACTGACACAAGAAGAATCGGTGGTTAAAAAGGAAAAAGAGACACTTTTCCTTCTCCTAAAGACTTAAATTAATGAGTTTTGTAGCGAAGGCAAGATTCAGCTACAAAAGTGGCTGGGCAGCTTGTTTAGCTCATTAAATTGTGATTGGAGATGAACATTTCCATATAATTACTGAAAAAACCCACACTGTCTAGTATCCTTGCTGATTGCTCATTTTCTTTCTTGATACACTTAAGAAAACAGCACATGCCTGTGTACTCTATCATCTATTTTAGATATTTCTCCCCTTCTCCCCAGAGCCCGCCACTAATGAGAATTACAGCTCCGAATGCTTCACGTAGGAAGTGCAGGTCTGCGACAAACAGCACAGCAGCTGGATTTCTCCTCGCCTAAGCTTTATGCAAGTGAGAAGAGATTTGCGGACCGAGGTGGAGATCCAGCTCTCCAGCCTGATGACTGAAGGTACCAAGACACCTCATTTAACAGGTTAAAAACACACATACTCTGTTACCGCTAACTGGATCAGAACTGCTCTTCCCTCTTCCCCTTCCTGTACTCACGTGCGCTGCTGCTCTAAAAAAGCTAACCTGTGCCTGAAGTTTCAAAATTACTTTCAAGGTCATTAAAAGCAAGGGAAAGAGGAGTCTAGGGTTAAATACAGCAAAGAGCATTAGCTTATACCTGAAATAATGAGCTAGAACAAAAACATTATCTGCACATAATCAAGCCTCTAAGCCATTCAGAGACACCAGATACACACAGCAGGAGATCAAACTACAGCACTCCACTGAAGTGGTCAAAAAAACCCCCCCAAAACCCTGCTAGAAAGGAGAGGTCACAGGTATTTTAAAGAACATAGATGCTTATGCAGGCATTCACTAGGAGGGGAGCCCCCCCCCTCCCTCCCGCAATTAGCCTTCAGGCTGGTTGATTAGCTGGCAAACTCTTTGAAAGGGTCAGTCTGTCCAGAACTGGTATTTCCACTTGGGAAACAGCTCAGGCATGTCATATACCTGTGCTCGCCGAGCTCTCCGGCTGACGGCTGCGATCCCTGTTATTACTTGACACAAGAATGTCGGAGAGGTTTTGTAATCGTGTAGGGCAGCCAGCAGTAAAGTTCTTGCCTGAAACACGGTATTTTACAGGGCACAACATAACTGCATACACTTTATAGATTCAGTTAGAATGATTTCCAAACTTCAAGCCAAATTGCAGAGGTGCAGCGAGTCTTTAATTGAAGTAATTTAGCTCTAGTGCTCCAACACCCGAAAGGACAGTAGTTTTGGAGGGGGACGGGGAGCAGGCACCAGCACGTGCCAGCACACAGCAGAGGGGGTTCACACGGCACGCATTAAGGCACAGCTCAGCAGCGTTTTTGGCAAGACCGCTTTACCTCAATGAAACACATCTAATGAACTTGGGCTTGTTCCACAGTTAAGCTGCACCTAAACCCGTTTAATTGTGCACTTACTGTATATTTCACCACTATGGCAACTAACGCAACTAAAGCCAATTTGACTTATAAAAAAAAAAAGGAAAAAAAAAAAGAAGAGGAGGATCACTGCCAGGAAACAGAGCTATTTTAAATAAACAAATACAAGATGAATGCAATTGCCATATTAACCCTCTTGTTAACTTCTGAAGTTTAAAATTACACCCTCATTACTAGTGTGTAATTGAGTATTCTCCTGGCTGTTTCCTGCATTTGAGGTTATTCAAATAGTTCATTAGCACATCAAGAACACCACACACACTAACGATACCTGACACCCTTATCTACTATTTTGGCCCGACTTTTCATAACTCACATCTCCCACTAAAAAAAAGAAAGAAAAAAGGGGAAAAAGAAAGAAAAAGAAGGGAAAAGGGGAGCCTGCAGGGCTGAGCCATCGGTGCCCAGGGGGAGCACGGCAGCACGTGGGCACCCCTCACATCCAACCCGCAGGCACGCAGTGAGTGGCCACAGGACTTGGTGGTGGGGGGTGAGGAACTTGGGGGGTGAAGAAGTTGGATAACTTGCGTCCGGGCTTGTTGGGTGCCTGAACAGTGAGAGTCACCCCAGGAGCCACCCCGGGGCTGGCAGCGTGCATCGACCCCCAGCCTCAGGGGAGACGGGGAAGAAAGGAGGGGTGCAGTGGGGGCTACGTGGGATGGGGTGCAGGGTCGCCACCTTGCTTTTTTTTTTTTTTCCTTTCTTTTTTCTTTTTCCAGTTACCTGTGTGGGGGAAACAATAGCAGGTGAAACTACTGTGGGTGAGGTGGTGCTTCTGTGCCCATTGGCTTCGGGGAGTAGGTGAGGCAGGGGGTCGTGTTTCACTGAGACCACCACCACGGCAGGTGCGGCGGTGTCCAGGGGCTCAGCGGGGCGGCGACAGAGTCTTTTGGGGGAGGCGGAAGGCCCGCACGCATCACCACCAGCCGCAGCCCCCGCCGGGAACACCGCCTC